AAATGAATACAATATATTTTAAAGAAAATCCAGCCCCTTGAATCTCACACTTGTCTGGGGTGTAAATTTGGGGAGCTCAATTCATTTCTCAGATACTGAATGTTTTCAGCAATTTGATAGGAGTTTCCACTTGTCCAGGTTGCTGTGAGAATTAAGGGAAAATGCTTAAATATACATCCATGGAATCCTGGCAACAAGTACAAAGCTTGTTACCTTTATTGATCTGGGAAGGCCAGGGTAAGCGCCATCAATCATCTGCATGTCACATTCAGCCAACTCAGATTCAGGGAATTGTATTGAGTCTGCTGGAGATTCCCAGGTGGGGACCACCACAATGAGACCTGAGTGCCCACAGAACCTGCCTCCCTGCAGCAGAGTCAGTGGCTTCATGTAGGTCCCATTTCTCACTAAAATGCACCCAAAGACAAAGGTGCTTGCGGGTTTCAGGGCATGAGAAGTGCCTGTCCTGGGAATGTCTCTGCAGGGAGAGGCACTGAGTTCAAAGGAGATGGGGAGAGGGAGAGGAAAAAAAAAAACAATGCTGAGAGAGAATCATTGATCAACTGCCTCTTGCATGCCCCACACTGCAGATCTAGCCAAGGCACAGGCATCGTCCCTGACTGTGAATGGAAACGTGACCTCCTGATTCTTAGGTCCACATGGAACCACTGAGCCATGCGAGCTGTGCTCTCAAAGTTCATGTTCCTAACTCTTGCTCCCTCTCCCTTGCTCTATGAAATCAATGGAAATGTTTTTAAACATCAATTAAAATATTTATTATAAAGGAAAAAATATTAATTAACACATATTATTCTAATACAAAAAAAGCATTTAAGACTTCTGAGAAAATGCTCACCATAAATTCTTACAAAAAATACTATTAAATAAAATTGTATGAGACTCTCACCCAGAGGGCATAAGCATGGGGATTCAATATAGAGTTGAATGTCAAAATTACAGAATATCTTTATACTAGAGGCCCAGTGAACGAAATTCATGCACTCAGGGGGGACCCCTCAGCCCCTGCTGTGCCCGCACTCCGGGAGCCTTCGGGCTGTCCAACTAACAAAGGTAAATAACACATATCCATATAAAGAATTATACAGAAAAGTTTGTGCCAGCTTTATTAGAAATAACCAAATACTTATAAAGATGGACATTGTGGTTATATATTCAAAGATAAGAATATATACCAGAGCACTAGCCGGTTTGTCTCTGGATAGAGCACAGGCCTGCACACGAAAGGGTCCCAGGTTTGATTCCGGTCAAAGGCACATACCTTGGATGAAGACTCCTTCCCAGCTAGGGCCCTGGTCATGGCTCATGCAGGAGGCAACCGATCAATGTGTTTCTCTCACATCGATGTTTCTCACTCTCATTCCCACTCGCTCTAAAAATCCATGGACAAATATTCCCAGGTGAGGATTAACAAGATCAAAAAGAATATCTATCAAAAAAAGAGATGAGTTGCCGAAACCGGTTTGGCTCAGTGGATAGAGCGTCGGCCTGCAGACTGGAGGGCCCCAGGTTGGATACCGGTGAAGGGCATGTACCTGAGTTGCGGGCACATCCCCAGTGGGAGTTGTGCAGGAGGCAGCTGGTCGATGTTTCTAACTATCTCTCTCCTTTCCTCTCTGTAAAAAAAAACAACAATAAAATATATATATATAAAAAAGAGATGAGTTGCTAATATATCTTAAATAAATCTCCAAGATTTTATGTAATATAAATTAAAGCAGAAAA